TCCCTACTTGCGAAGGGGGACTCGGGATTAGGCATTTGGAGGATATTGAAGCTGCTTACTCGTCCAAAATCTGGTGGAAGATCAGAAATTCTGAAGGGATATGGGGTGAATATATGAGAAGCAAGTACCGGCCAAACTCAGAACACTGTCACATGGAAAAGAGCAGCCCGTATACACAACTGGGCTCTTGAACATGTTCATACCATCTCTGGGACAGAAATGTGGGAGGGGAAACCATTCTCCCTCAAGCTTGCTTATAACTCTTGGAGGGATGCTAAGCCCTCTTCTCTCTTGTGCGATATGGTCTGGTCAAAACTACAAATTCCTAAAATCAGACTTTTCCTTTGGAAAGCTCTCAACAATCTCCTCCCCTTTCTAGACAACCTAGGCAGATTCAACCTTGCCATTCCATCTAGATGTAATTTCTGTCACAATGGGCCCCAAAACCTGAACCACACTCTTTACCAGTGCAGGCACTCACACAATATTTGGAGGTTCTTTTCTACTCTATTTGACGGACCTGTCATTCAATGGGGGGACACCATCCACGACGTATGCATGAACTGGTGGCTTGGTACGTGCAAAATAAAGCTTATGGACAAAATCCACTCTATACTTCCGGGGATGATTGCATGGGGATTATGGAAAGCTTACAATGTTGAGATCTACGAACAGAAGGCTTTCAACGAATGCTCCATCATCAGTTCAATCATGAAGACTATACAAGAGTGGATCTGGACTCACAAAGAAAAAAAATGGATGATCCTTGATGACAATCTCAAATCCTTGGGTCTACTCTCCAGCCTACGCAAGCCATCTATCTTACTCCTGTAATACATTTTGTAATCTTTGTTCGGTGGGCAGAACCCTTCTCCCACATTGCTGTAATTGTTTCTCTTTATCCATTATGCAATAAAAGTCTCTTTTTAATTAATATATATATATATATATATATATATATATATATATATATATATATAAACCCGGAAGAGAACCACCAAAATCAGTGTGGTAAGGTCCAGGCCGGCCTTACCAATTTTATTAAAAAGACAGAGAAGTACACGTTCGAGGAGGACTAAATCAACGCCCCGAAAGTAAAAACAAAATACAAGAGGATGAAGAAAACAAAAAGCCTGAACTAATTAAAACATCACAACTATTACAAGAAGAGTTCACGGAAGAACCCAACATAATACTTCTCCAAACATCTTCAACTTCTTCAGAACCATCGTCTTCTTCACCAAAGATTTTCAACAGCTTCGACTTCTTCACGTGGCCTGCTTAATATGTTCCGCATTCCTCGCTGTTCAGCTTCCTTGTGATGTAGATTCCTTCCCGATTGGAAAAACAAGATGAATCCAAGGTTAGTAAGGCTTTCATCCAAAACCATCCAACTTTTTTTTCTCTTCCCCCAACTCCAAGTGTGAATAGTGTTGAAAAATTCCTTTTTTAACTCTCTGCGAGTTGGGTGCTTCATTTTCAAATCTGCTCTTATTGTATTCTTTCCATATGTGCCAAGATATTATCCCCGGAAGAATACTTCTCAATTGACCTTTTAGGGATGATCTACTGTGAGATAGGTTCCATTCCATAATATTTTGATTGAAGTTTAGATGATTTTTAGGATTAGGACCATCCACTGCTTGAGAGAAGAATTGCCATATGCTCTGGCTCTAAGGGCATTGGAAGAGAACATGGTCTTTAGTGTCTTCGTTACACTTGCAAAGGGGACATTGGGTGGCCAGTTGAAAACCTAATTTCTTCAGTTCCATAGCAAACGGAAGATAGGAGTTAATAGCTCTCCATAGGAAAAATTTTACTTTTGGGATTTGATTCTTATTCCAGCAGAATGAGTAGGTGATTTGTGATGGCTTACTGTCCCTGCATATGTTATATGCTTTCTTGAGTGTGAAATCACCATCTTTCCAAGAAATCTGATCTCCATTTAGGTTGGTCGGAGTTGAGGCTGTGATATTTACCCTGCAAATCCTTTTCCAAACTGGTGAGTCATGGATTATTTCTTGGATGGAATTCATCAGTCTGAACCTTCCACCAAAGTTTAATAGAATATGCTTCTTGGGTATCCTCAAGACTGAACCTTCCACCAGACTGAACCCTATTTAGCCCATAGGGTTTCATCAGTCTGAACCTTCCACCAAAGTTTAATAGAATATGCTTCTTGGGTATCCTCAAGACTCCTGATTCCCAGCCCTCCTTCCTATGTAGGAGCACATAACTTGCTCCATTTACTCCAATGATGTTTAGAATTCCCTTGTTTATTTCCCCACAAGAAATTGGCCATTCTCCTCTCCAGCATCTTCTTAATGGACTTGGGGATGATATATATATATATATATATATATATATATATATATATTAAAGGGGACTTTTATTAAGAAAAAACCAAGGATTACAACGAAAAGGAATCTAGGACCACAATGTTACCTAGATCCTTGAAAGGGGAGTAAACCCAAGCTAAGGACATTAGATTTAAAAAGGAAAGTTGTATTGATATTGTTTGCCCAAAACCATCCTTGAGTCAGCTTGTTTATGGAGAGGACTAGTGAGTTCAACGATGGCCTGCCATTGTCATAAAGGCACTTGTTGTAGAGTTTCCAGATTGTCCAGCAAATAAAACCCGGTAGTAGGAAGCGTAGGTTCCCTTTTATGCTTCCTTTATTTGAGGATAACCACCAGCTGAGCATTACTTGTTGTAGCATGGGGTTCCCCTTCACAGTTGGAGCGCTAACATCCGTTGAGTAGACATTCCAGATGGTTCACTCATGTTCATATCCATGCAGAAAGGGCACGGTGTATTGGTGATGATGTGCATTCGTTGTAGGTTGTTTGGGAAGGGAAGTAAGTTGTTGAATAGACACCAAAGGAAAATCCAAATCGTGGTTGAGGACTCAAGGTGCTTAAAACAGCATGTTAGAACCTGCTCTTCCTCAATGATGGCCTGAAGTGAGAGGGCATGCACTGTCATTCCAGAAAAACCAAAGTTTGTTGTTTAGAGCATGAAAACCTTTCGAGAGTCCAAGTTTCATTCTGTACCACTCCAATTTATTTGGTTCAACCAGGGGTTCCAAAAGAGAAAGAAAATGAAAGTTGGATTTTTTTAGGAGAGAGCTGAGACGAGGAAGAGAAATATGTATGTACACCTCTCAAATTCCAAAAGAGTCCAATCATGGGGAAAAAAGGGGGGGGGAGAAGAGTTACTTGAGGCCATGTGTCTGGTGATCATGGCATGGTTTCTTTCTTTTGTTTTGGAACTGGGAGCTTTGGACTTGCTTAGGGTTTCCTTGCCAACTAAAGGGGGTGGCAAAGGTGGGAACTCCTCTATAGCAAGTAGGTAATCCAGGTGTTGAATATTTTCATCAATTTCTTTTGCTTCAGTAAAGAACCCAACTTCCGGTGGTTCATCTTCAGGGAGAGAGAGGAACTGATTCTCCTGGAAAGGGACAATAGCTAGAGAGTTGTCCACAAGTTGCTGGGAATCACTAATGATGGGGGCCCTAAGCACATTTTCATGCACATGATATATAGGATAGAAGGGTCCGTAATGCAGTAGGTCCCATTTTTCCCAACCTTTTCAACAATTGGTGGGGTGGGTGAAACAGGTATCTCTATAGGGTTTTTGGAGGATTCACCTGGACCTTTTACCCAAGTTGCATTTGTTTTCTTGGGGTGTTCAGAAAAATCAGTTTTCCTGGCCCGCCACTCAAGATTGTCAGTCACCTTGGCCTTAACTTTTTTGGATGTTACTACTTGCCATTTTCCAGTGTGTTTGTGTTCCTGTGAAACCAGGGCCTCTTTCTCCGGTGGTTCAACCCTTTTCCGATCAGAGTTTTTTGCCATGCACGCTTCCCTCTGGTGACCTGTTCTCCTACAATCCTTACAGTAGGAGGGAACATTCTCATAGATGAAGGAAAAAATGAGTTCCTCACCACCATGATTAATCAAGACCTTTGGAGGAGGAAGGTTGGAAATATCAACTTCCACACAGCATCTAGCCAAAGCAGGCCTGGAGAAATTTAAAGTACAAGAGTCGACCTGTAAGGGGGTACCAATGGTAGATGCAATAAGATGGAGAGCTCTCCAATCATGAAGATGAATGGGGAGGTCAGGGAAAGCTATCCAGATAGGACGGATTTTCAGATTCTTGCGACAGAGAGGGGCTCCATTTGGTGAGGGTCATGAAGAAACCAAAAACCTGCCAAGTCCTTCTTAGGAAGAGGCGCAGGTAGTCTTCCTCTGAACTAAAATTTAGAAGAAAGCATTGATGAGGAAGAACTGATATGTCCACTCTACCCTTTAGACCAAGTCTTTGAAAAAATGTGTGCATAGAGGAAAAAGAAGGCCGTTTCTGAAATTTGCCCACAAGCGCCAGTTTGAACCTGGATGCAAGCTCCGATATGTCATCTTGGGTGAATGAGACCGAGGGAATTCCTTTGAAACGTCATGTTTATCTGCCTTCTAGACGTTTGCCAGTGTAGATATATATATATATATATATATATATATATATATATATATATATATATATATATATATATATATATATGTATATATATATATGTATATATATATATAATATAATCGAGGGATTTTTCCAAAATGATAATATATATATATATATAGATATATAGATATATATATATATATATATGTGTGTGTGTGTGTGTGTGTATGTATGTATGTATGTATGTATGTATATATATATATATATATATATATATATATATATATATATATATATATATATATATATATTTATAATCGATGGATTTTTCTAGAGAGAGAGGGGCAAGAGGCGACTATCGCGGCCGCCCAATTCGCTATACCTTCCAATTGGCTCCCTCTCAACGACAATCTGCACTTCGAAGAATCTCAGATGGATTTCGCAGAGCCTCCCCTGATCTTTACCCGAACGTACAAAGCTGCTACCGGCCCTTTGATCCTGGTTTATCGTCTAACGAAGGTAAGATTTCATCGCCTAACAGAAATGACTATTGGCTTCCAATCCGGGATGACAATCGGCGTAGAAGCTCAGATCGGCGCTCAATTCAAGGAAGGAGGAGCCCAATCCGAGAACCCTATCAACATATTGGTGAAAATATCACAAGCGCCAATCATAGATTTGACGGTACATCTAGACATTCAGACTTCATCCACGGAAACCTTCTGGAATACCGTAAGAGTACTCAGCAGATGGCCAATCTTCAGGCGTCTCTCACCCTAGGTCATGACACCTTTACTCTTTTTCACTCCTTTTACAATCAAACTTACTGTGTCTCTATTGAAGGAAAGAGAAGTTGCATTATTTGGCTTGACTCTGATTTACTTAGTTGGTTAGTAGAATGCCTCTTAAAAATCTCTTTTGAACCTTGCTGGGTTTTCTCAAAAAATACTGAAAGTGGGTAGGGAATCTGATTTCATAAGTATCTCTGAATCCAGAATGGAAGGCACTCGGTCAATCTCCCTGCCAACAGGTAAGAACAACCTTTTGTTATGGAAATTCATCTCCAACCTTCAACATTTCCATAGCAGTAGCTCGGAGAAGCAGAACATTAGTACCAAACCATCCAAGGACCTTCCAAATAGGAATGAAGAGAACATCCAATCTCCACTACATCTGCGGCAGAACATCAACACAACAGACCAGTAGAAATCCAGTGTCACTCCAAGGACTTTCCAGTTTGCAAACCAGCAGAACAACTGCGGAAACCTGTCTACAGCAGAATCGGATTACGCAACCGATCGGGTAGAATGGCTCCCTAGTGTTCACAAGCCATACAACCTTGATATCTCTTTAACCACTTCCTTGCTCTGTTGGGAAAGTGAAACCCCCAATCTTCCTAAACCTCTCGACGGTGAACTACCGGGGCTATGTCGTTATGACCCTATGATTTTTGACCGAGACACTTGCTCAAAAAGTTTGCTTGCAATGGACATTGGGCCTCTCTCACATGCTGAACTTTACAATGCTAACACTGTCACACCCTTTACGGCCAGGGAGGGATCACTTTCAGGGAAAGCACTAACACAGATAGCTCCAGGATTCCCGGCTTCTAGGGTTAGAGGAACCCAATCTGAACCTCCCCGCACACTTCAACCGCTTTCCCCAACAGCCCCTCCTTTCATCCCCTCCTCTTTTAACTCATTCCGGATCCTGGAGACATGCCAAGACAGTGAGGAACTGCTAGTGGAACAATCCTTAAATGGAGATAGAGATAATATTGACTTATTAAATTGCTTTTCTACCTCTAGGTTGCTGAAGCTTAATGCCCTCGAGGATGTGGCCCCATCTGGTGGAGAACCGGCTCTATATACTCACTCCGAAGGTGAGTCAACAGCTTTGATTGACTCAAAGCTTGAACCGTGTAGATTCAGCATCCCCAGCAGCTCCATAGTATCAATGCCGTTCCCGAAATTATCCAAAGGAAAGCCAACTTCTTCACCGTCACATATGGTCACCAGGAGCAGGGCTAGGCAACTAGCTGAAGGAAGGAGAAAAACTACCATTAGGGGAGTTGACACCTCGGACGAAGATGAAGAGTCCTTCTTTGACGGTATTCGTTCTGTTTTCAAAAGAAGCTGTCTAACCATTCAAACTAAGATGACTTGTGCACCTGCCCTGGTACCTCAAAGCCCCCAGCGGAAACTTACCAAAAATCAGAAAAAGAAAGCGAAGACGAAATTAAAAAAGGCTCGGGCAGCGGATGCTCACATAGCTCTCAAAGCTAAAATCTCTGAAATACATGACCACTTTGAAGAAGATTATGATTATGTAGATTTTATGTAAATCTATTCTTCTTTTGTTATCTTTATTTGGACGGCCCATTAAGGGTTGGATCCACAGTTCTTCAAGATTTGGGCTTTGTTCGGGTTTGGCCACCCTTCTTCTTTGTACTTTTCATTGTACTTTTCTTTTCCATTCAATAAACTTTGTTTATATATATATATATATATATATATATATATATATATATATATATATATATATATATATATATATATATATATATATATATATATATATATATATATAGTCGCCAGCGAACGAGTGGACAACCGAACCTGTAGGAAACTCGACATGGGATCCTGAAATTGGAGGAAAGAGGTCTAAGCTTTAAGATCGTCGGGGAGGCCGCGTAGTATCTGTAGGATCAATTGAAGCTCTGACACGGGAGCGTCGACATCGTCCAGCCAATCCGCAATATTTCTAAGATTTTTACAATAGGTGGCAATGGGAGTTGATCCCTTGACGGTGGTGCGGATTTGATGCTCGAGTTGCATGTCACGTGCATGCTTGTTGTCGTGGAACAAGTCAAGAATCACCTTCTAGAGTGCAGAGGTAGTAGAGCTAGAAGAGAGGACCAGATTCGATTCTTCATCTGTAATGGTGGAGAGAATCCAGCCTTGAAGGATGGCATCAAGCTGGAATCATTCATCGTCATCGTCCGAGAGAGGGTTGACAGAGCCGTTGAGATAATCCTGGAGATTGAACCGTCGGGCAAGAAGAAGAAACAGAAGATTCCACTTTTTGTAGTTTGGTTGAGAGAAGCTGAGTTGTATAGGTACAAGGAGTTTGACGGTGGAGATAGTGAAAGCCAGGTGTGGAGGTTTTAGGGTTTCCGATTGAGAGGTGACCTCACTTTCAGCTATGGTGAGGAGAGGGAGAGAGCTGCCGACCGACAAAGGAGAGGGGTGGCGGTGATGGGTGTTCGGCGAGGAGAGGAGGCCAAAAATACAAGATGGAGTTAGGGTTTTTGGTTAGGCTCTGATACCTTGAAGAAGAATTATTTTCATTGATTTAATTTGTGTGAAAAGTACATGTATATATACCAAGAGTCTCAATCCTAAATAAGGTAAGGTAGATATAATAGCCTATACAAATATGGTAACAATAATATTAAATATTTATATATTTAACACTGAGAATGCGACCTGAAAATATACGGGAGTTCATGCGATGATGGGAGGAGGTCGACCAGACCATCATCATTGTTTTCTTGAGGTATGACAAGAACTACATATGAATAAAATGAAATCGTGTTCTAATTATACAAGAATTTATGCGATGTGTGTTCTAATTATTTACTAAAATAATTAGAACACGACATCACAAGTGTCGGGGGGGTCATTATGTCTGGAGAGCATGGCGTAGATTGACTTTCTAGATAGAACCCTCGATCCCCATCAATCGCGACCCTGGATACTTTTGTCGTTGTATCCTCCGAGCTCTTATGTTTTCTAAATCATTTTAAATAAGTATTCAAGTTTTTTTATTTATATTATTGATTACGAAGCTATTGGCTGACGGTTTTTGAATTGTAGGCATCAATTCGGTGTTAGTTGTAACATGGTTATTAGAAAATAAAGTGTATTTCTTTAACTCCATCTTGGGGATTGGAGGGCATCAGAAATTGAAAGTGGAGACTTTCGTAAACGAATAAGCATTAATATGAGTTATGTTAATAATATTGATGAAAGACTTTATTTGCCACAAACTTTTTTTCTTATTGGTCTTGGCAGTTATTTTGGGAAAGGAACATGCCCTAGCTTAAGGCTCCACCAGATGGATTGGTGTTCACAGAGTACCACAACAACTAAGAGAGATAGAGTATGAATATTATACTATTTAGAAATCATCCTAAATAAGACTAAAACATAGAGAAAAGTACCAAAATAGGACTTTCATGTTTTTTTCACGGAATAGGACTTTGCACTGCGGTAATGTGACTTTGCATTGTGGTAATGTGGCAGTGTACATGTGCAAATTACTATACTTTCTTGGTAATGTATATGACCATGTTTGGTAATGTAAGTCCTATTTCGGGAATAAAAACATAGAAGTCCTATTTTGGTATATTTTCTATGTTTTAGTCCTACTTTAGTGTTTCTTCCTATACTATTCGATTTGTATGGCTCATCCTCACTTTGTGAACTCAGTGTTTCCTACCGTTATTCGATGTAAGTTCCTTTTAGTATTTTCTTGTAACAATAGTGTTCTTGTTATTTAATATAGATTATTTAAAATTTATTGTTGTATGTATTCGTTTGTATTGTAGATGTTTCGTTCTACTTCGCCGCTCACGATTGTCAAATTAGAGGAGGTTAGAGAGTTTTGGGCATGGCATTTTCTTAATAAATATTCCCTCCGTCCTGTATTTGTGCACTTTCATTTTTACACACCATCCAATGCACTTCTTTAATCCATTTTATCTTGTAATTTGTGCTACGTCCGTACCAGAGTATTTGTCCACTTTCATTTTTACACACCATTCAATACACTTTTTTAATCCATTTTATCTTGTAATTTGTATATTAAAAAATTATAGAAATTATATATTAATAATCTATATGTTAAGACAAATCAAACAAGATCACACATGACTATATTTAGGCTTACACATTGAGAGAATTTGATGAGTCAAAGTGCTTAGATGAACAGTTCCAAAAGTCAAATATGGACAAATACAGGGGGATGGAGGGAGTAAGTGTAAGTTTCATATGTTTGTATTGATTGTATGACTTCTTTGTTAAAATGAATATATAGTTTAGTTATTATATTGTAGTGCCATAATATGAGTTGTTTGTTAAAAGTTTTGTTATTTTTGTCTTGGTGAATATGTTATGAGGCTCTTTTGTTCTGTTTTAAGTTGGTCTATTTTGCTGTATTTGTTCTAGTCTTTTCCAATGTGCTATTCAAAAATAAGTATACCTTTTAAATCAGTTGTTTGAAAATAACCAATTTAAAAGATTTTCCCAGAAATAGCGCTAGTCCAGAGAAGAACCTTTTAAATAAGTTGTTTTGAAACAACCGATTTAAAAAATCTTTCCTAAAAATGACACCAGTTCTGGGAGAAACCTTTTAAATCAATTAGTTGAAAACAATTCATTTAAGGTCTTTCCCAAAACTAGCTCTAATTTTGGGAAGGTTCTTTTTGAATCTGTTGAATAACCAATGCCAATTTTTTTTTGCACCAATTGCATCACAACCTTTTGCATCGGTTCAAAACCAATTTAATGGTTAAAAATAACTTTTCAAAAAATAATTTATGTGGTAGTGAATTATTCGGATTTAATTCTCTTTATTTGAATTACAACCAGGATTACGAAACAACATAATGAACTTTGGGGTGAGTATGATTCTAAGAAAATGAAAGATAAAATAAAATATACAATCCAAAGCACAAATTATTTGTATCAATGACAACAAAATGAGCGACAGGATAATCAAATTCTGCCCCAACCCCCCCCCCCCACCAGCCGCAAATATTTCAGAAGAGTATTGTTATTGTGAGTTAACATGATCATAAAGCATATCCAAGGGGCAGTCTATGATACCGCAAATACATAAGCAGCCCACGCCAAACTGCCAATTAGAACAGTCACCAAAAACTGTTATCATCTCACCACACTATAAAGTCAATTGCACGGCAACAAGAAAAAATTACTTCGACGACGATCATCCATCTATTCAAGCCAGGTTGCACCCATCACCTTAGCCATGAACGCATACCGGTCGGCAGCTTCGTCAATCTTCAGCCGAAAAAATATAGATGCAATGAAAATCAAATCAACTTTGTGGTACTACTAATAAATTGATAGTAGAAAGGGAACCTTCCAACTAGAGAGGGAAACATAAATATTAAATAAAATGGTTCACCATTTTTTTTGTAGGAAGTCCGGCTCCATGCCCAGCTTTATGTTCTATCCTACCAATAATGGGGTTGCGCTGGGGGCTTTTCTCCATGCTTGAGCATAATACATATTGCATGGTCTGAAAAAAAACAGCTGTGAACGATAAAACATGATGGAAATGGAGTCAAGATACCATGTATAAATCATTACCATAATCCTACACTTCGTAGGCTGATGTAAGCACAGAAGACAAAAAAAAGTTTTGTGGACACCAAATCAACAAAACAAGCTTATAAAGAAAGTTCCACTGTTTTGTGGAATCCATATCAACAAAACAAGCATACCATGTTCAAGCTTCTAAGTTAATAGTTCAACAGTTTCGCCCTTGTTTGGTAAGAGGATTTGGAGGGGAGCAAAATATAGTGGAGGGGTGTGTTCGGTTGGAGAGTTGGGCTGGGGAAGAGTAAGGTGGAGAAGCTACAGATTCCTCTGAACTCCTTATTAAACACAATATTTTCACATTGTCTTAAAGACTGATTCTTCATCACTCCTAAGGTGAACTAAACATCACTTCTTTTACCCACCACCCACTCAGCCCCCATATCCCCTATTTTGTCTACAACTCCCGGCCCTGAATGGCTGAAAGCAAATTTTAGCATACTAAACAAAAATCAGGACCATTGCTTGCCTTAGATGCTAGTGTCTCAGTAATCACTATATTCTTCGTTATGGACGGAATGTTGCCAGGGGGTAAGGAGCACCAAGAGAAATATAAGACCTAAAGTCTAATGCATCTTTTGAAATAACCTACTATAAAGATGTGTCTACCAGCTGTGTAAGAAAGTTGCAACCTACTTTGTGTGATATTCCCTTCAATGTTGGTTTTACTTGTTTCCCAAAGAACTTGTGTTACCCGGTTGTCTGCGATGTCCTTGTCTAACGAATTTCCCTGTGCGGGAATCCACCAGAAACTATTATCACATTTTTTTTTTCTTGTATGATTTCTGTAGTCAATGTTTGTAAAGTTGACAAGATTAGTGTAAAAAGTAGTTCCTACGTCCCACTTTGTTTGTTGTGTTTCAGTGTATGATGTTTGATTAAAGTTTTTTTAAATTCATTCTATTTAAGTATTGGTGTAAGATTTAAATATAAAATTTATATAATTAAAATATACATCAAAAGATATATAAAACAAGAAATGACATATACATACATTTGTGCGCAAACCATAGTTACTAAAGGCGCTCGCCATTTGCACTTATGGCGCCTATGGCGCTGAGGCGTGTAGATGACACCTGTGTGGCATTTTACGAGTGGCACGCCATGGGGGTTGCCGTTGCGCCTAGATTTGTGGCGACAAGCTTATGCTATCTTCACTTGCGTTTGGTCAACCCTACGCCACCCATTGCCTCTGTTCGATTCAACTGGATTCGTCTCCATCACGATTCCTTGTCATATCCAGCACATCCCTCTTCTCTCGTCGCAAAGTCGCACACAGTCACAACTCACAACTTGCACAAATCTATGAACTCACGACTCGCACAAATCTATGAACTCACAACTCGCACAGTCGCAGCCCTCTTCTCTTTTTGGGCAACAAGCAACCCTCTTCTCGATTTCTGACTTTACTGCATACTACTCTGTATTACGAGTATTTTGTATTTATTTTTTTAAAATGTTTTCTTTATTCACTAAGTGGGTATATCTTTTGTATTGTGTGTGTGTTTGCCATTTGACCGCAAGTCGTGTTTAATCACACCTCGCTTTAACTCTTCTTAGGTCTACCTCTACCCTAATCGCATCCCGTACCTCTAACCTCTCACACTTCCACAGTGGAGCATCCACACTTTTCCTCAATACGTGTCCCCAAACAATCTTAGTCTAGCTTCATGCATCTTGAGACCGCTCCAACCTTCCCAGGGATATCTTTGTTCCAAACCTTATCCATCTTCATATGACCACGCACCTGTCTCAGCATCCTCATCTCTATCATTACTGTTGAATTTGAGCATTATACACCGTTCAGCAATCCACTCCATACACAATCAGTCTGACCACGGTGTGATTAACTTTCCTTTCAGTTCCATTGATATCCTCTTATTGCACGGGACACCAAATCAAACTTCCACTTCATCCAAGCCGCTCCAATACGATGAACATCCCTAACGACCTCCCCCATCAACCTAGACGATGGATCCAAGGTATTGAAAGTTGAAACATGTCCCTTTTAGATATTGGATGCATAACAAACTTCACTTTCATTTTTGACTCAATAATCAAACCAATAAAACAACACACCATGTAATCGATCTTAGTTCTTCTCAATCGAAAACTTTTGAATTCCAAGGTTTGTCACAACACCACTAGCCTATCATTTAGTTCCGCACATGTGTTGTCAATCAAAAGAACGTCATCCGCAAAAAACATGCACCAAGATATCTCCCCATGAATATGACATGTCAAAACATCCACCACTAAAGCAACCATGAAACGACTATCCCGGGATAATATCTATTCACAGATGATGAGAAAAACTAATGGTCAAAGTGTTGTATTAGAGACTAGAGTAAAATAGGAACAAATTACAAGGCAGATGAAGTGTTTTTTTGACTAGGTGAAATTTTGTATCAATCCAAGCTTGAAACTTCANATTCACACATTTACAGTACCTTCCTAGCTTCTATTACACATAACATCATGCTCTTCTCATTTCTTGTACCAATTCATATAACATGCAGCAATAACATGGTAGAATCCCATGAAAGTAGGGCCTAGTGAAGGTGTGTGTATGACTGTATGCAGACCTTACCCCTACTCAAAAGTAGAGAGATTGTTTTCAAAAGATACCGCCAACTCGAGAAAACACATAATGCACAAAAAGCAATGAGCACAACAACATAAGCAGCTAATAATATAGAGAAAAGACAGAAACACAAAATGAAAGAAAAACAAAAACAGAAAGCACCACACAAAGAAGCATGCAATAACAAGTCCAGAAAACTACCACCAAGTCCAAAAGCCTACCTAAATATCCTAGTTTCAGCTCTCGAGATGAACCTGGGGTTATATTCTTGATAAGGCCCAAAAGTACTAAGTCATTCCTAATCACCACCTTCCAATTCTTTTTAAGTCTACCCCTTCCCTCATTCCTGCCCACCCCTGTAAGCCTCTCACATCTTCGCAACAGAGCCTCACGTGTCCAAACCACCTCAGCCTTCCTTTCCTCATCTTATCCTCCTGGACTCACCACTCATCCCACATAACCTCATTCTGGATGATGTCCAACCTCATTTGCCCACACATTCACCACAACATCTGCATCTCTACAGCATGTAGTTTACAATCGTGAGTTTTCTTAACTGCCCAGCACTCCCTACCTTACATCATGGCTGGTCCAGCTACTGATCGATAGAATTTCCCTTTCATCCTTGCCGAAATATTCCTATCAAAGAGAATTAATGAAGCCAACCCCCACTAAGTCCTCTTCAGCTTATTTTTTCTACTTACTCCCTCCTTCCATAAATTAACTTTTTAATTACTATTCTAGGCTCTCGATAACTTTTGTTTAATTGAGTGTTTTCATTAACTTGATAAAATAAAATATTCTGGTCACATCTTGTTTGATAGAATTTTGATATTCTTTTGAAATATGTAATTTTTACTTTTTTATTTCTATATCAATTTGCAAATAAAATAAATTGAAAAAAGAGGTGAAATTTTGCACGTTGTTCGAAATGGAAAGTTAATTTGTGGACAGAGGGAGTATTACTTATCCTTATTGGAACCTGATAAGATTAGTTCATACCATATCCGAATATCACCTCATATCAGACTACATCAAATAAGATCAAACCTTAAAATTGTATATTAGAACCAATTACATCAGGCGCAATGAATAGAGCCTTAACCCAAACAACTCCAATACGTTGAGCAGCATCAAGATCTATCTCGCCATCAGCCTAATTGATCGAGCCAAGGTACCGAAACTTGTCGCTTGACCACTAAAGCAACATTCTATGTACTCGGTCATAATCCTGCTCCGTCTGAAGCCTTTGAATTCGAAAAAAGGCGTCAAAACTCCAATTTGTTATTAAGTCCCTCACGTGTCTCATCAATCATTACAATGTCATAGAAAAAAAACATGCACCACTGGACTTTCCCTTAAACACCTTGTGACAAGACATCCATGACAAAAGCAAAGAGGAAACAACTAAGGGAAGATGCCTAGTGTAACTCTACCTCTAAAGAAAAAGGCTCAAACTCACCCCTACAGTCTTTACCCTAGTTCTTGCCCCAACATACATATCTTTAACCTCACGAATGTACACAATCTGAGCCCTTTTAAACTCAAGACACCTCCACAACATCTCTCGGTTCCATGCCATATGCCATTTTCAAATCAATTAACACCATATCTAGGTTCTTCTTCTTAGCCCTACACTCTTCCATCAATCACCGCAAAAGGTGAGTAGCCTCTGTAGTTGACCGAGCAAGCATGAATCCAAATTGATTCTCGAGAAAGCACACCCCCTTCCGCAACATAGCCTCGATAATATGCTCCCAAACCTTCACTATGTGGCTAAGAAGCTTGAGGCCTCTATAATTGACGCAACTCCAGATATCACTTTTACCCTTGAATAGTGTGACCACCATACTCTCCCTCTACTCGTTAGGCATCTTAGCCATCCTAAAAATAACATTGAAGAGCTTGTTTACCCAAACCAATCCACTGTTGCCCACACGGCCACACATTTCCAAAACTCCAACTGAATCTCATCTGGCCCCAAGGCTCTTCCCCTTTTCATTTCGCAGATGACCCGCACAACCTCCTCCTCACTAATACATTGACAATACCAAAAGTCTTGATGCTGGTCCCAGATCGCCTAAATTGGGCCTTAGTTCTCCTCCTGCATCCAGCAAGCAACAGAAGTATTCCCCCACCAGTTGGACACCTCCGCCGCTTCAAACACTGTGCTGGCGTTGTCCATCACACATCTCACATGCTCCAGATCTCGGACATTTCACTCACACGCCTTAGGCCCTTAGCCAGTCAGAGAAGCCTTTTATCACCACCCTGCTCCTCTATGTCCTTATAAAGGCATTTAAAAGTTGCATTTTTGGCCCTAGTGACCTCCAACATATCTTCCATACGGGAAAACCTTATACTCCACCTGAAAGATGCCCTTACCTCTTCATCACCATTCACCACAAACCAAGAACCCTTATACCCTACCTTCTTAACTTCAACCTTACATTAAACAAAATCACACCACCACCAATCACCAGTGTGTTGGTGTCCTATACCATGGCTCAGACCTAGCACTTCCCGGGCGGCTTCCCTAATTTTGTGAGGAGTCTGGAACCACTATCTTCTGAGACACCTAGATTCCCTTATATTGTTTCCAGTGGGAAAGCATTGCTAGCCTCCTACTATTTCAAAATTCAACAAAACAAGACAAAAAAATCCAAACAACCTAACTTTACACACCGCTAATAATTTTAGTGAATGTAATGGCACAACCCTATCATCATGATCCGCTGTCAAAAGCATGGTTGATGGATACTGAGAAGCTTTAATGGGAGTTTGTTCCCACGGCCTTCTGACATTATGTAAGGGCGAGTACCTGAGAAGAAAATTGGGAAGGAATAAACAAGAACTTCAGCTTCATGCTTATAATAACATAATATAATAATAACAATAAAAATAATATAAAAATAAAACTATAAAATTGGAAAGGAATAAACAGAGCCTGATAACTACTTGATCAGCCAATTAAATTCTTCCTCGTTGTCTGAACACCCATAATCAGATGTCCATGCATGGCCTGGAACAAATGAAAAGGGAATCACAGCATAAAAGAAAAAAAATACTTAAAACAACCCTCGAACTCTTAGCACAAGTACAATCAGGCCCATCAACATAATTCATATAAATTAACAGCCATTCCCTGAAAGTTAGTGCAATGGCATCTCTGGCAAATGTGATAACATGTGTTAGTTATTGACAAAAAATTGTCAATGTCACGCTGATAGCTAAGAAAATATAATATTTTTCTCTAAAAGGATCACAAACATCCCCATTCCCATTTGGAGTTAAGAAAAATACATCCTTCACACAGCAGAGCCATTTGAGCACTAGATAAATGTGATATCTTCACTGACCATGCAATGAGCTCAAGGGTGCTGAAGCTTCTTCCTACACTGCTCATCATCAAACTACATTGACGTCCCTAGTTAATGATAAATCTACAATGACCAAGAGTTCCTTTGGAGAAAATGAACACAAAGCATGTGTTCATCGATTCATTCTTTTAAAGTATCATTTTGCAGATTTTGTTGTTACGGAAATTACTCAAACTTCAAGGAAATTGAATGGTATATTCATCAATGAAATACGACTTCCTAAATTAGCAATATTACTACCACTAATAATAAATGTGCAGCTAGGTCATATTTCCAAGTAAGCAATATTACTACCACTAAGAGACAAATATATCAAGTCAGCAGTCAGCAGCACTAACCAGAGATTCCAGGAGATTGCATAAAAATTAAGACTTTAGGAGTTAAAACTGTGAAAAGAATGGCTTTTTTGCTGGTGTGCCTACTTCATTTGTGCTAACAGTTCAAAAACTAATTTGACCCTTTTTTCCATGAAGTGTTTCAAAATTTTTACTCACCAACTGTAAACTTGTGAAATCTAAGCATGTCCATAACACCAACATGCGCAAGAGCACATCCAAAAAGATCAGGTCTCTACAAGAATCAGATCCAAGGGTGCAGTTAATTTGCTGTTATTCGTTACACAAATATGCAGACAATGAGATTGATGTAACATACTTGATTGATGCAAGCTCCAATAAGAAGCCCACCATTGCTTCCGCCTTCAATACACAGCTTGCTAGGCTGCGTGTAACCAGCAGTGACGAGATACTCAGCAGCAGAAATGAAATCATTAAAGCAGTTTTGTTTCTTTCCAAGAGCGCCTGCTTTATGCCATTCTTCTCCATATTCCCCACCACCACGAATATTTGCTATGCAAAAAACAACACCTAAATTCTTTGCAATCACTAGCCGAGCAACAGAAAAGTACGGCGTAATACTAATGTTAAATCCCCCATATCCATAGAGTAAACAGGGGTGTGATCCATCCAAAGAAATATCTTTTTCAGCTACTATAAACATTGGTATACGAATACCATCTTTACTGGGAACCAAGACCTATAAAAATGATTCCACCAGACAAATAAACTTTAGTGAAACATTTTATGTTCTTTAATGATAAAAAAGAAGCATATGTAAGCAATCAAGTGGCAAAAACTTTGAAAGAAGAAAAAGAAGATTGCACACCTGATTGACTTGGAATTCTGTCCGATCAAAGCCAGGGACAACTATTTCACGGAATATTTTCATTTCTGCAACATCAGTTTTAAGGTTGCACTGATAAATAATCCCAGGGACAAGGAAGTTTGTAAAGCCAACAAAAAATATGTTATCTTTACGGCGAGCAGAGATTCCAGACACTGTTCCGATATCTATAGGCAAATGCTGCTTAAGCATGCCCGTATCTATATTTCTCAACTGTAAAACATGTTTCACATCACGCAAATAGCTTACAACCAATTGATTCTTATTCACAGCTACAGCAGATTCAAGAACATCTTTTTCATCCTCTGCAATTACATCAAGCCAAGAACCAGGTTCTTTAATATCTGACCTAACTAATTTGTACTTGGGAGCATCCTTATTAGTACGAAAGGTGAACACAGTGCCATCATTGGCAACAAACTCATATGATGCATCAAAGGTATCAATGAGTTTCACAAAAGGGAGCATCTCATTTGTTCCTTTATAACCCTCAAGCCCCCTAGGTAATGCAGATAAGTCACAGAAGTAGACTTTGTTTACGGGATCACAGTTCTCAAAAATAGATTGAATAACATACTGCAAAACATAAAAAAGGAGGTTATATTTAAATATTGCAAAATAAGAGTAAAAAATTGACACACTATTATTACTCTAAAGATAAGAAAATGTCTTCAAAAATATACGAAGTACATTAAATTTTGTGTAATCTTACTCCCTTCAACTAACTCAATTATACTAAACCTTGATTACAAAATGGTTGGAAATTAAGGCAATTAACTGTTTATCAGGCCCAGCTACTATGTGGAGATCAACGAGCACTTTCTCACGGACCCAAATATATGGAGGTCCACAAATTTTCAATATCCGATATTTCCATCATTAATAATGCATTTCGCAATCTGCTATAAGTCTTCTTTTACTTCTTCCAATTTTTGTTACTCCATTTGCATTCCGGCTTCCTTAACAAACCCTTTTATATAAGTGCATCTATGACTCTGTGACTTATGACTTCCTCTCAGTCCTGTACTCCTGTTCATCGCTCGACGGGACGACGTCCGTTTCCAGTCCACACTGGCATTGTCAAACTCGGATTTCCAAAATCAGTTCTACATTAGGAAAAATTTGAAATCTACATCTCTTTGGACACTATGTAAAAGCTACACATTTTTTTGTCAATTCCTCTTAACTTATTGGAGTTCCCTTGTAATAAAAACAAGGCCTTCTTGTATAATCTCAACGTCTTGAGCTAAAATTAAAAAATTGAGCCTTATTAACAAAGTTGTTTTCTATTACATTTTCCACATCCAAAATCTAGTATTTTTTAAGGCAAAATTTAAGTTTAATAGCAACAAATAACAAACTAGCAAGTAATAATCACCATAAATAACACAACATAAAAATATAAAATGTATCAAGAAATCTTATTTGATAGAAAAAACAAAAGTAATAAACACCGTTTCCGGCTGAAGGGTTATCATAAACCATGAGAACTTGCTTTATTTATTGCCAGATTGCCCAAATTTTAAGGGTTCATATATATTAATTTTGTTTGGGTCTTCTTTATTCACAGCAACAAAATGAAAGAAAAGTGGAGTGTTGGATTGCCTTCTTTAGTGTTTTTATGCAAAGACAAACATGCATAATTGGGAGGATATTTGAACTTATGCTTTAAAACAAACTTCATCGTAAAATTAAGAAAATGAAATTAGGTGATTCTAGTTTATTAGGAAATGAGTGTAGTAATATAAGCCACAGAAATCCTTCCTTAGAAGGAAATTGGAGAAACGTTTTTGGGCAACCAAAAAAAAGAGGAGAGAAAATTCAGGGCAGATGGAGTATCTATCTCTGGCAATGTATGGAAGTACCTATTTTTGACCTACTAAATCTTGTTATTGATTCTACTACGTGAAAAACTTGTTGTACTGTATATTTCACATCTGCAAGTTGAGGTTGGAGCACATGCCAGATTCCAGCAATCCAACCATTAAAAAAGAACTATGGTCGTATTTCTCAAATCTGACGGACACACCTCTTACCATTCTCCTATCAAGTACTACATGCGTCCCATAAATTTCTTTTCCGCTTGATTTAATATGATTTTTAATAAAGTGAAACGTGCGTGATTTTAGTTTGTGTGGAGGAAAGGGAGATGATATGAACCACACATGGTGATACGGTTACTATCACTATTATTGTTGTTGTTGTTGTTACTCCTTCCGTCCTAAAACTATCTTGTCACTTTCCTATTCAGACCATCATAAAACTTCCTTTCCATTTCCATAAATGGCAAATAAATTAGTAAGAGTCACGTTTGCCCTTCTTATCCCATTCTCTCTTCTTCTTCGTCTTCTCTCCAATTCTCTCTGGCCATCTTCTCTCCAATTCTCTCTTCCTGCCTTCTTTACAATACTCTCTTTCTCTTTAACTTCTCTCCAATTTTCTCCATTCTCCCTTAATCTCTCCCTTTGCCTCTTCTTCTTCTTTGATACAGGACGTGACAAGGGCAGCTCCCCCAGGGATTTGACAAATCCAAGCCGATTGATGATCTCCAGCGAAGTCCCTACAGCCGATCTCAAATTCGGGTTCTGTCAAAGCACATGTGCATATCTCATTTTTATAGGAATCGGTTGATACAACACAAGGGAGCACCACACCCCAAAAGCTATTAAGGTGAGAGAACCCTTGGCTATATAAACCCATCAACAAGTCCCCCATTTAACCGGTGTGGGACAATGAAATCAGTGTGTATCATTTGACCCCCCATAAGGCCCAACATCCTCGTTGGTCACGGATATGTCTTCTTTCCAATTCTATTTTCCCGTCTTCTTACAATACTCTCTTCCTCTTCAATTTCTCTCCAATTTTCTCCATTCTTCCTTCATGTCTCCCTTCGCCTCTTCTTCTTCTTTGATGCAGGACGCGACAAGGGCAGCTTTCCTAGGGATTTGACAAATCCAAGCCGATTGATGAGCTCCAGCGAGGTCCCTACATCCCTACAGTTGATCTCAAATCCGGGCTCTGTCAAAGCACATGCACATATCTCATTTTTATCGGAATCGGTTGATGCACCACAAGGGAGAGCCACACTCCAAAAGCTAGATATTAAGGTGGGACAACCCTTGGCTATAAAACCCATCACTAAGTCCCCCATTTAACCAGTGTGGGACAATGAAATCAGTCTATATCATTCGACCTCCCATATGGCCCAACGTCCTCGTTGGTCACGGCTACATTGATCACGACCACGTTGGTCACGGCTGGATCCACCAGGCCACCACTCTGAGTTGGCTCTAATACCATTAATACAGCACGTGGGAGAGCCACACTTCAAAAGCTAGCTATTAAGGTGGGAGAACCCTTGGCTATATAAACTCATCACCAAGTCCCCCATTTAACCGGTGTGGGACATAGAAATCAGTCGGTCTGGAGGAGAAGTGTCCAAGATTCGCCAACAAGAATTTAGGGTTTTGATGTATGTATGTGTATATACATGTATATGGATTTGATAATTTGAAAATGAAGCCGTATTTATTTTAAGAAGAAGCCAAATTTATTTTTAGGAAAAGCCAGATTGTTGGATATCTAAATGGTTGGGTGGAAGGAGTAGAAGGGGCATTTTGAGAAATCATATCAATTTTTACATTCCACTAAAAAAGAAGCTCAGTCAATCCAGGAATAAAGTTTCTATATGGAGGGTGTAATATTTAGTAATACCGTTTAGAAATTAGTTTCCATTTGATATTAGTAATTAGTCCTTGTATTAGTAAAATTGTACTACGTATTAGATTATGTTTATTAGGACTCTATTAACATGCTCGCCGAGACTCTTGCAGAAGTATAAATAGAGGTATTATATCCATTAGTAAAACCATCAATAGTTGAAGTCATAACTTTAATTACGAGAAGCTAGTCATAAACTAATCTCCCCTCCTCCCAACCACGGGCAGGGAAGAATCGATATCTTCTTTAGCTTTCTCATCAAGACTCTTGGAGTAGCATAAAGAGGGGTGTTAAATTCATAGTTATCATGTAGCCAAGGCGAGGCGCGGCGCCAGTGTCACACCATGACGCCTAGGCGTCTACGAGACCGCCTAGGTGACAATTACACGACAAGTAGTCCATGATTATTGCTATAAATTAGTAACACTAATATAATATATCACATTACATGTTGTAGATGATAAAGATTAAATTTCAAATTCAACAAAAGATTTAATAAAAGTTTAAGACATTAAAAATTAATAAATAAAAGATTTAAAAAAAGAATGTGTAAAAATAAAGGGGGTTTGGAACCTAATTATAGAATACACAAATTATTATTAAAAAAATATAGAGTATTAAATACACAACAATGACAACAAAGCCTTATCGCAGTAGGTGGGGTCGGCATATAGAGTATTAAATAATTTCAATAAAATAGAAGACTGAGAGATGCTACCGAAGACTAAGAGAAGACTACTGCGACTTGCGATCGTCGGCCAAAGAACCGTAGAAAGAGATGATAGAGCTGTTGTGAGCAAGGTTGTTAAACACTTAAACTCGAGATCCTAGTTAGGATCGGAGGAGGGTTGGAGGATCGTAAATCACAAATCATAACTCGAATCGTAGATCCTAGAGTATTAGGTAATACTTAAAATTTAACCCCTTTGTTCCAAAATGATGTTTTTACTTTTATTTTTAAATTGTCCTACAATAAAATTTACACTATTTACTCTTACGTGGTACCATGTGCGTATACTTAGTATGGAGTATATAAGCTTGGAGTATATTACATCTTAATTACGGGGTATTTTTTAAAATAGTAGTTATAATCATGTAACCAAAATAAATATTGTACTGGAAATTGGAATAAAAAGAGATTTATCACAAATGAAACGATATACACTATTGCTCTGCAAAACCCAACCCGAGGGGGGAACAGTGGGTTTGGCGATAAAAATGAAGTGATGAAACTTCAATAGCATAGATTTCGTACATGTACGGCTCTACGCTACTGTTCCACAAGACCCGACCCATTCTATGTTCCATAGATCTATCGACGACCTCACACCCCAACATGTTCTCTTCTCTGTGAGATCGAATCAGCTAGTGATCCTGCAATTCAACAATCAAACTCGACGATCCAGAGCGAATCAAACTCAACGATCGTAAGGCGTCCATGGCGTTGTCTAGGCATCTGTAAGGCGATGTCCATGCGAGGTTTAAAAAATAAGGTGAGTCGATTGGCCATGGCGAGAGAAAAAGGCCGCTAGGATGCCTAGGCAATGCCGTGATAACTATGGTTAAATTCATTAGCAAAATCATCAATGGTTGAAGTCAAAACTTTAAATATGAGAACCTAGTCATGGGCGTCACTCCCCTGACCCCTCCTTCCCACCACGAGTAGGGAAGGATCAATATCTTCTTTAATGCGTGCTAATGGTTTTCATCTCAATTTCAAGCCAATATCTTGTGAGTACTCCATATCGTTCCTTGATCTCATGCACTTAAAACTTTTTTTACAATGCAAAACGTGATAACATGTGATGCTTGAACATATAATTGTGAATGTAATATGACCTCATTGTAGTTGAATTTGATTATGAACTCTGCTGAAGTACATATTTTATTTTGAAGACCTTTTATTATTATTTGTGACTCTCTATACAATTTGGCACTTCAAATAAAAGTTAACACTTCATTGAGGCGATGAAGCTAAATTAGCTAATGCAATACAAAATCCAGCCAAATCACCTCAACTAGGCAAAATGTTGTTTCAAACATTAATAAACATAAGGTTTACGGTGAAGCTGGTCTTTAATTGTCAGCCAAATGCAAATGTTGTACCTAAATTCTACCAAAATATAGCAAATTTGGTGCGGGGTGGGATACTGGCATTTGACTTCAACTGGAAATTTGAAGACTTCAATGCACATTTAAGAACAATGCTGTCCCCAAATATTGAGTCACCCCAAAAATATTTCCCCAAACATAAATCCCAAACAACATATGAGTTACTAGATTGCTTAACAAGTCATCTAAGTGTAAATAAAAATATGATACAATACCTTCCCATCTTCGGTTACTAATGCTGAACGTGAATGTTTTGGGTTATCTAAATCTTTCCAGCACAAGATATCTTCACATTGATCTGTACCCAAGAAATGATAATACAGTTCATGGTGTAAATTGGCATTTGTCTCTGTTCCCGCATCCAAATTATTGACATCCCTGGACAAAATGGGAACAACTGTTAGCACTTTATGAAACTGTATCCATAATCGAAACCAGAGTGGCAGCAGAATAAGAATCCTTCCAACAAAGAAAGGCATAGTCTCAGAGCTTTGGTGTAATTAATAGAGGTGCTTAATGAATGCACCATGCCCTAAACCTAATCCCAATTCTATTCTTATGGCCTTAGCCAAATACTAGCTGAGTTCTTTCGTGGAGAAACACATACTGATTAGGTTTAGCACCTCCCTAACCCTAGATTACACTTATAAATGAGAACTGTAATGTTCAAAATTCACATGTTATAACGCTTATATGTTAAGAACCTCGACTTTCATTAATTAGTTGTTCTTGTAATATTACCATTATTATTATTATTAGTTTCCTATCATGGAGTATTATTAATTATTATTAGTTTCGTTATATGATTATTATTATTACAAATAGTAACAGGTTCGTATTAGAATTGGCTCTCTTCTTGTAAGACTGTGCCTCTATATATTCAACAGATTTATTAATTAAAGTAGAATTATATATTTAAAAAATTGTTGGAGCATATAAGAAACTTAATAGACACAAACTGTTATTTTCCTACAATTTCTTCTCCACCCATGGCGAAAGAGGAGAAGCAACTCTTTTTTTCTTCATCTGCGTTCACTACTTGTCCTTAGACGAGGTCCCTGACCAACACCCTTAAGTCTTAACAATTTGGTAACAGATTCAGGAGGAACCATGGCCCCCTCAACAGTCAACAACCTAGCAACACAATTGTGCGAGTTCATGGCCACAACCACCAAACTTTAGGCAGACTACCACAAACTTAAGGGAGAAGCAGCCACCCTCACCGAGAGTGTATGGTTGTGCACTGCAGAATAACATGTCAGAGCAAATGCTAGGTAATATCAGCAACCATGATGGTGAGTTCCGAGGGGAAGAAGACTTCTGCAAAGGACACTTCGGCAGAGTGACACAAGGGACACTAAACATAGAATCGCAGGTAAAAATCTTGCTTAATTGGCAAATAACAGTCGAATAGCACCGCCGTAGAGCTAGCAAACTGGTCGGTCAGGTTGTTTTCGGGTTTGGTCATTTCGGGTTAAGGTTGGGGTAAGTTCAGGTTCAGGTCGACGACCCAACAGGTTCTGCCCTTTTTTTTTATTTTGAAATTTTAAGTTATTTTTAAGACCCAAAATCAATTTTACAAATAATAAAAACTAAATATGCAGAAGTTTTGGAATAAAGTAATAAAATTATGCGAAATCATTAAAATCTTGTATGACAATATAAATGTATACATTAAAACTAGTAGTAAGAATAGAAATATAATTATAATCTTATTTTTATAACATTATATTTCATATTAAAAGTATATGAATTTGAAAAAAAATTACATTAGCAGGGGTCAGGTTTAGGTTCAATCGGGTTTGACCTATTTTTAGCGGTCCATTATGGGTTCAGTCAATAAAACCTTTGTTCAAAACCCTATATTTTTTTGTCAAATCTCGGGTCAAAAACAGGTCGTTTGTCTAGAATTTTTATTTTTCGCAGCCTCGTCGGTCATTTGTGGCATGCGGGACGGGCTCGTGCAGCAGGAGCTGAGTTTTAGAAACACGACCATTATAACACGAGGTGTCCTAATATAGTCTTGTATTCCAAATTATTCTCTTCATAGTCCTCTATGTTTGAGAACTATTTCCGAATAAGTCCATTGGAGGAAAAGTTTCCATATATAGAGGACCACGAAGAGTATTTTTCCACAAGTAGTGCACACAGGAATTACATGGAATAGTTCTCAAAAATAGAAGGTCACGAAGAGAATAATTTAGATTAGAGGACAATAATGGGAAACCCCCTTTTATAGTGTTTATAGAATTCACTCTAATACAAATAAAGAGAATCAAAACTGGGAAATAGCAACACATTACATAGAGTTAAAATATTTTGATCGAGTTACTTTCTAGAAATAATTTAATTAATAAGCTTTAATGCTTTGTGCCAATAAATTGAAATTTTCTTTAGAATAATTAATGAATTATTCTTTGACTATTTTGAAAGATGAATGTTTGTGAGTCTACCATATTAAGTAAACACAATTGAAGAATGAAAAGTGGAGTGTAGAGACTACATGCAACTCTGTGAGGGGTGTGGGGTTAATGGGCTGCGAGAGTTGAATGGAAATCGGGGACACCAAGAAAGGAAGGACTGTGTATTTGCGCAAGTCATAAGAAGAGATTGAAACACAAACTCCATTTCCCTAAGAAAAAGCAATCTGTACCTAATTTTGGCAAGGCGGAGTGAGTTGTGCCACAATGCAATTTCAAGATGAAATTGAAAGAATTCAAAATGAAATGATTTAGATTTAGTGTTACACTTGTAAAATGTTGTTATGAACTAATAGTATGCCTCTTTAGACAGAAAAACAAAAAATGTTCATTTATTATGTTATTATGCACAAGGATTTATAGGACTTGAGAGGAATATAACCAAGTGAGCTAACCTTTCTAAGAAATATTTTCAAGTTTAATCAAGTTATAAAAATTGCATCTAATCTAGTTTATCAAGCGAGGATGAAGCATATTGAGGTTATGTGTTAGTTTTTCTTATAAAATATACAAAATGACATTACTTCTGATGGACATGTGAAGGCCAAAAAGCTAAGGGATTTATTTACAAAACTACAAAAGCACTAATGTGATTGGGACAGAATGTCCCTGTAATATGGTGGGCATGATAGATGTATGTGCCAACTTGAACAATGACAGTTTTGTAGACCTAAACCTGATCCTTATGACACCATAATTGGCTTAGCTCAATGGCCAATACTATTAGAGTTAGCACATCCCAAACCTAGATGCATTTATAAATAATACTCCCTCTGTCCTAAAACTTTCTTCCCGTCACCATTCACATGGTCAAACTTTAATCACTTTCTTTACCTATTTTTATTAGTTATTTGATCAAATTATATAGTCATGTCACCTCTTGTTTTGTATAACTTTTGATATAGTTTTTAAATATATAATTTTATTTTTTTTAATTTTACACCTATAATCAAAAAAATTGAGTTGAGAATAATTTATGTCAAACCTCGTAAATCAAACAAGGAAGAAAGTTTTAGGACGGAGGGAGTAGTTAAAATATGTTATGATTTGAAATCATAAGAATATAATATGATCAAAATGCAGGGCTAGTCCTAACATTTTAGAGGCCATGTGCTAAAATGAAATTAGGCCTACCAAATACAAAGTACAAATAAAATATTAATGCATTTGTAGATTGATTGACAAGTGGCCGCCTTTGCTCAATTTGGCTCAGACCTTGATGCAGCGACTCAGGCATTACTCAATAGAGGTGCAAGGCTGACAGAAGTACTGAAACAACCACAATATGCACCACTGCCAATTGAAAAACAAATTATAGTCATTTATGCAGCTGTCAATGGATTCTGTGATCGAATGCCACTAGACAGAATTTCTCAATATGAAAAAATCATTCTATCTACTGTAAAACCAGAATTACTACAATCCTTTTTAGAAAAAGGTGGATTAAAAAACGAAAAAAAAAATAGAACCAGATACATTCTTAAAAGAAAGTGCTAGAGCATTTATTTAATACTTTAATACAAAGATAATACAAAGAAAGGACGTTATAAGATACTAAATTAAATAGCTAACAACCTAACACATAACAAAAAATTAAAAATGGGGAATACGAATCTGAATTTGGACTCCTATTTTTTAAGAGACAATGTCTAAAAGACATCAAGGCAAAAAGATTTATTTTGAATCTATGAAGAAAATTATTAAGTCATAATTTTTTAATATATTTATTGCACAAAAACTAAAAAAGAAATTCAAAAATGAAAGACTAAGTAACGTTTCATTACATTGTAATTGATATTTTTAAATTCTAACTTTATTGGTCAACCTACATTTTTTGGAGGCACTCCTCTATTTGAAGGTCTTGTGCAAGTGCTCACCTTGCACTTGCCGAGGGTCGCCTCTGATCAAATGCCATATATAAATCAAATCCCTTATGTTCACACTAAAGGACTAATCCATTATCCTCATTTACTTAATGTACCGAGTCATAGATGGGTCAACATAAACCCATGAATCCATTAAAACCAAAAGACCAACAATACTAAGGTTGAGATTGGTGAGCTAGACAGATATGGATTTTTAAATCTCCAGATGTTCAAATGCGGCCAATAGTGGGTGTTGATATATGTCATAATTGATGTATATCAAATTTTGAAACATCCTAATTTCAAAATCAATCATGCCACCCTAAAAACACGACTGGTCCTGTCATTATCTTTTTAAGAATTCACACTCATATGTGTCTTCCTCTCCACCTCTCTATATGCTTTTCCTCCAACTTCGCATCATTCTGATAAAGCGCATGTGGGGGTCGCACTAGCCAGCTCAACGACGATAAATTCTGATTGCCTCTGGTCAACGATGCAATCGAGCAGTCACGATCAATTGGGTGCTTGTTGTTCTTCGGCTTTTTCATTTTAATAATTTCAATTAAATGGTGCGACTGCACCAAAATAATCAAACCATACTTCCACTTTGTAGCAAAGTCTCCAAATTTCAGTTTTCTCCAAACACTTTTCATTAAGATTTCGAAACCCACATCATTTCATCCGGATTTCAAAGTTCATATCATATCATACCTCCAAAACTTTCCAAACGGACTCTAAGTAAACCACTATTCAGTCGTTTTTTCTTTATATTTTAACCTTATAATTAGAAACCACCGTAAGGCCACCTACAAGCATCATTGTCTCACCCGAACTGTTAGATCACTTGACACAACCATCAATTCGAGTGTTCGTTACTTCATTTTCTAAAGGATACATCACAGACAAATTCCTTGATGGATGGAAGACATTTAGAGCTTATTCTCTTCAATTTATTCTTATTACTTATTACTTATTCCTATTGGAATCATATCTAATCAGACCAGACAAGATCAAAAATAACTATAATGAGATCACATCAAACCAAATCAGAAATAACTACAATGAGATCACAGACCTAATCTATCAAACCTTAATAAAATCAGATCAGATCCAATTAGATGAGACAAAGAGAACAAGCTCTTAATATAATCTAGATACTAAAAAACATTGCTTTAAATTAAACTCGTCGTGTGATTATTCCTTAAAGAAGAACATTTCCATGCACTTACATGGGGGCTGGGTAACGGCTGTAAAAAAAACCTTTGCTATCAAGGGTCCAACTAACATCAGAGAACTTAACCTACAATCAAACCAGCAGCACTCAGTAACAGAGCTTAGCATATTGATACACTTAATACAACTTCCTGCCATTGAAATTGATGTTCTCCATTGTGAGCTTACCCAAGAAACAGTATCTGGCAAGGCATCTTTATCTTCAATCCGCATAACTTTGATGGTGACCCAATCACTTCCACTCGAGCTAATGCCATACGCCAAGTACTTGGCATCTTCGCTAATAGTGCAAACACTCAATGCAACTGTTCCATCATCGCTAAATGTATTAGGATCAAGCAAAATTTCTGCTTTCCCATCCGGAGTATCCTGCATTACATTAATGTAACTTAAAAGCAATCAAAATATATTGATCATCAAAATGAAAAAAACACATAGTTCAAGAACTTATCACATCAAACAGAGAAAAATCCAATTTAAGATACCTGAACAAAAAGGACTTTCTGTGGTTGAAGCCCGCTATTGTAGAAGTAAAAATACTTGTCTCCGGCTATAAATGGAACCTCGTACTTGGGAAAATCATACAATTTGGTAAGTTTATCCCCCAGCTTCTCTCTAACATCACATTTCTTGAGTATTGAATCAGTTAGTTGTACTTGCTTCTCCACGAATTCCTTGGTCTCATCTGAATCAGGGTCTTCAAGCCTATTGACAATAATCAGATATAAAAACAGCTAAGTTCGAATTACAGTCCACAGAATTGCATCACTTTGGAGGTACTGAACCGACAGTGATAGATTCAATAAAACAAGGGAAATCTCGTTCCATGTGTACACAGAGAAGGGTGAAAGGGGGATTAACCATCGATAAGGGTCCGGAACAAGGACGCCGTGATAGTTATCTGCAACGGAATTGTCACGTCGAGCGATTGGGTACGTAAGATCATCGACAAAGGCTTGCGTGAGAGAACCCATCCTTTTCTGCTGCTCAAAGGAAACTAAGAAGTGTAGGACCTGTTGGTTGTTGGTGTTCTTTCTTACTCTTTTTTATTCAGTTCTTTACTTTATCCCTGCGATTTTTATTTTGCGAAAATTTATAAACATTTTTGTAACTCACTATTCACCTTTCCTCTAATGAAGGGCATTTATTCTAACAAGAAGAAATCTAAGATATGCTCACCTGACCAACTTAGTGAAATTGATATTGATTTCTAAAGGTTATCTAGAAAACCTACAAGATAGATCTTGGATTAGAATCGACTTGTGAGGAACTGCTGCCCATTAAGACTCCCTTGACCAGGTTCACTAGAGATCCTATCGAGCTGGAACGCGTTATCACTCTACCAGTGGAGGTAGGTGACACTAAGGCAAAAAGGTCATTGGACATGGAATTCGTGGTGGTTGGGATCGTCTCCAATACGAACATAGGCTTAGGCAAGCAAATCCTGGAGGACCTGGAGTGCGTAATCTCATCCCGGCACTTATGCATCATGTTTCCAACACTGTCCGAGATAGGTGTGGCCTGGGGATCCCATAGAGTATCCAGGGCATGGTATCTCAAGGCAACAAAGGAGCCAGCCAAGTTCGACACCCAGGCGGGAGAAGTAACCTCTCAGTTGCTGAAGGCGGAGGAGAAACACCCCCGGGTTGAAATGGCAGGAGATGTGGAAAAGGTAAGCTTGGAGCCGACCGAACCGGACAAGAAGATTAGGATAGGAAAGGGACTGGGAGTTGAACTCCGGTCCCGGGTAATTTCACTACTCAGGAGGTTTAGGAAGGTTTAATTTTTGCCTAGAAGTCATGCCCAAACTCGACCATAAAATCGCTGTCCACAAGCTGAATGTCCTTCCTAGAGCAAAACCGATTAAGCAGAAGAGGTGGCATCTTGCTCAAGAAAGGTGAGATTTTGTCAAGAAGGAGGTAGCCACGCTACAGAGCTTTGGACACATTCGGGAGGTCTAATACCCAAAAGGCTTGGCCAACCTAGTCCTTGCTCCCAAGCCTCCATCCTGGAGGATGTGTGTGGATTATACGGACCTAAACAAGTCCTGTCCAATGGATCCATTCCTGCTGCCGAACATAGATCAAATGGTGGATGAAACCGCGGGGTGCGAGTTGATGAGTTTCATGGATACATTCAGTGGGTACCATCAGATCTGGATGCACCATACAAATGCGGAGAAGACGAGTTTCATTACTCCAGAAGGTTTTGTATTTTTATCTGGTAATGGATTTAGGTTTGAGGAATTCCAAAGCTACGTATACCCGGATGGTATCGCAAGTGTACGTTCAAACCAATCCTAGGACGGATCATGGAATCTTATGTTGACGATGTGATTGTCAAATCAAGGCAAGCCCGAGACCACGTCCGGGACTTGGAAGAGGAGTTCGGGATCATGATGAAGGTGAATCTCTGAATCAATCCTAAGAAGTGTACCTTTGCGGTATAAGGGGGGAAGTTCCTAGGGCACCTGGTGAGTCAAAAGGGGATTGGAGCAAACCCGGAAAAGGTGGAAGGGATCTTGGTGATGGAACCCTCGAAGACAACAGAGGAAGTACAACGGCTAACTGGGAGGTTGGCGGCCTTGAACATATTTTTGTCCAATGGTGGAAAAAGCTCATCCATTCTTCACCATAATCAAGAAGAAGGCAACATTCGAATGGACGCAAGAGTGCCAGGAAGCATTTGAGGAGTTGAAGATGTCCCTCGCCAATCCCCTTGTGTTGTCCAAACCTGAGCCAGGTGACACTTTGATTCTATACTTAGCCATTTCAGACTGTGCAGTAAGCACAATTATTATATGAGAAGAGGACGATAGATAGCACTCGGTTTATTATGTCAGTAAGAATTGAGGGATGCAGAGTTGAGATATTCACGTCCAGAGAAGGAAATGTTGTCACTATACTGGACACCAATGAGGTTGACCCCATATTTTCAAGCGCACCAGGTGAATGTACAATTGGCCTCCCTTTACTGGAGCCTGACGGCCTCAACCCGGATGATCAAATGAGCTGTTTTCTTGAGCTAATATAAGGTTGAGTTCAAGGCATGCCCTTTGATTATTAAGGGACAGGCGTTGGCCAACTTCTAGAATGATTGTACGGCAAGAGAGCAGACCAGGCGTTTAGAGCTGACCCGGGACAAATAGAAAGGCAGCAACAACAACAACAACCAACAACAACAACAACAGTAGCATCAGCAATAGCAACAACATCAATAACAACAAATACAACAAGAATAATAATAATAATAATAATAATAATAATAACAACAACAACAACAACAATAACAATAACAAATACAACAAGAATAATAATAATAGTAATAATAAAAATAATAGTAATAATAATAATAATAATAATAATAATAGATGTAGACCTAGCATAAGATGGCTCAGCTTGCCTCAACCTACATCCCATGTGGCTATTTCATTGTTATCAATTCACTTACAATATCTTCTCTCCTTTCAACAACTTTTATTTATTTCCATGGTTTTATTTATTATTTGCTAAAATAAAATATAATTGTCATCTCTTGTTTTGCAAAATTTTTGACGTAGTTTTTACGGAGTAATATATCTTTTTTTATCGATATTCCAATTTGTAAATATAATGATTTTAAAAGATGAAAATTTTGCCTCGTAAATCTTAATTTGTAATCAAATTTAGGACAGAGGGAGTATATTCTCGGCATGTTAATTCATACTTGTGTTTTTAAAAAAAACCAAGTGCAATGTGCATTTGTTTATTTATTTATCTATTGAAAAATATAGGGATAAAATTGTTTTTTATGACTAGTTAGCTTGCCAAGATTACAGTACTTCGCGATTAGACCCGATCACGGGCCCGGATATCCGGCCTGCCCGCAAAAACCCGCCCGCAAAATAGCGGGCTTGGGATTGACACTTTAGGGTACGGGCCGGGCTTGAGCCTTATAAATGGTGGCCCGAAGATTTTAGGGCCGGGCTCGGGTTTATGCTCAAACCCACGGGCTGGCCCGGCCCGAATAAATTAAAATATTTATTATTAATATAATTATAATAAAATAACAATAACAACATTAATAATAATAAAGAACAAACCTATTTCAAATTATTATAAACACACATACATACTTCTATGGAGAGAAAAAATAAACTATACGTTTATACTAGTAGGTAACCCCGTGCTTCGCACGGGCTGGGGATGTGGGCACGTTAATTGTTGTTGTATGATTTTTTTGCCAGTGTTTTTTTGGAGGATGCCATAGTGTTTTCGAAGTGTTCCATTTTTTAAAGTAAAAGTTGTTTTGAAAAATACTCCGTATGTATTTTGCATAATGAAGAACTCAAAGTGGTAGTATAGGATAGTGTGTGGGTTTTTTGCAATTGAGGTTCGCAGTTGGTTGTATTTTGTTGAATGGGGAACTCAAAGGGAAAGTAGAGCATAGTTTCTGTGTTTATGTATATCATATTGTTTGAATTTAGTGTGGGTAAAATAATATTTTATTTTTGTCATTGTTTTTTTGGAAAAAGAGCACTGACTGTAATGTTAGTTTCACTCATTCATAATGTTTGTCTTTTCTTGTAATTATTTTTTTTGTTCGAACACACTGTTAAAGAAGCGATAATTTAATTGGTAGTATGGTTTTGTATGGTTTTGGTTTTGTTATATGTGTTTTGGTTTAATATATTTTTTTGTGTAACACATTGCATATAGATAAGGAAAAGTTTAAATGTGTTTTTTTTTAATGTTTGTGTTTGCTTTGATAAAATAAAGTAGATACAGGATAGGAAGAGTTTGAATAGAAAATGGATTCGATAAAATGTTTTTGTGTTTGATATGATATTTTTTTGTCTTTCACATGATAATATTAATTTTTGTATATATGAATAGAGTACATTGTTATTTTTTAAATAGTAGAATATGAAATATTTTAATATATGTTTAATTTTTTAATGAGGTTTATAATTCCGGGTGTTTTTGTGTATGTCATTTGAATAAACTCCTAAGGTGTTTTATATCCCACGTTACACATTTGTATAAAATTGAAACTTCTATTTAAGTAAGAAATTAAAATGTCTAATTACTTGTTATTTTTTTGTATATACATTTGTCACTATAATATACCAAAGTGTGTTTTGAAAAGAGTGTTTTAGTAAGCAGAAACGGAGATTGTGAAACGAAGTCCGCTATAAGAAGAATTTGTTGAAAAAAAATAAACGCCTTAAGAAAAGTGTTTAGGGTAAAAAGCAAACAAAATGATAGCAGAATACCAATAAATCATGAATTAATACGTTATACTACAATTAATGTTAATTGTCCAAGGAGGGAACATTACTGAGCGAAGTTTACATCCCAAAGCAATATTGTAAAAACTTAATCTGAAAAACAAAGTTAGATTTCGTCTTAGTAAAATTCTCAAGTAATGGCAGCAGGGGAAAAAGGTTTTGACTTCCGCCACAACACTGATATATGCTCCATGCCGTCATCATTCTTTGATCAGCAATTATCTTCTGTATTTATGATTGTGTACTTTAAAGGACTCCTTTATTTTTTTCACCTTGGCTCATAGAATTTATAAGACAGGTTAGTACAGGAAATTGTTCGAAATGAGTTTTGATTTGCAAATATTAAAGACATAATTTATAAAGGACAAAGTAAATTTGAGTATGAAGTATTAAAATGAAATGTACTTTTGAGAAAGTACTTGAAAAAAAATGAAGGCTTGATAATACTGAGTATTGACACATACTTCCTACTCCAAAAGATAAAGTGGAGTATCATATTTTCAAGGACCATGCTACACTTACACCAAAAAAATATACCCCATTTGTACACCACAGGTTTGCACAAACATTTCGATGGTTTACACCGACACAAGTGTTGGTGCGTTAATAAAAATTCACACGGACACAAATGTTGGTGCATTTAACAAAAATTAGTTTTACACCAACACAAAGTGTTGGTGCAAAACTGCAGGGTATAAATTGGGGTACAACCCTTGGGGTACACATAGCATAACCCTATTTTCAAAGGTAAACTGTCAAATGAAGAGCCCACTTTTTAAAAAAGCTAAATATA